ATCAGTTAGAGCTGGGATGAAGACAATTACAACTAAGTAAACTTGAATCCTTTATTTGCATAAATGAACCTGATTGGGAACCTGAATGAGAGCTTTTGCTATAAAATCCAAACCCTGGCCAGGAACAGTGACTTGTGCCTGTAATCCCACCAATTTGGGATGTTGAGGCAGGAAGATGGGTTGAGGCCAGGAGTCTGAGGCCAGCTGGGACAACATAGTGAGACACCCAAACAATTTTTTTGTAAATTGCTCTACAAAAAGCAATTAAAAAAAAAAAAAAAACACCCAAACCTTCTGTTTGTTCTCTGGAATGTATCTTCATTTTATACTGAAGACTATATCTCCCCACTTTGCAAACTCTTCACTGTCACAAAGTCTCTTTCCCTCAAATTCAGATGTAGAGAACTTCTGTTCACAAAATCCATATAAATGACACTATTGCCGTGAAGAACAAAGGGTATCTAGTAAAAGTTTCTGAATTCTGGGTTTTGCTCAGAAGCAAACATAAGTTTAAAATGTTTCATTTCTGTTTAGAAAGCAATCTATTAATTTAAACATTAGAGGTCATTCAAGAAAAGATAGGATTCCCTTATATAGCCACAAAAAATAGAGCATTAAAATGGCACCAACGATATTTCAAACAAATAACTAGAAAAAAAATTTTTTTTCTAATCAGTTCGATGAGTGCTATTTCAGGTGTCCCTAACCCTAGGCCACCTTGTGACCAGCTATGAACCAGGCCACACAGCAGAACGATGAGCAGCAGGCAAGCAAGCATTACCACCTGAACTCTGCCTCCTGTTAGATCAGCGGCAACATTAGATTCTCATAGGAGCACAAACACTATTGTGAACTGCACATGTGAGGGATCTAGGTTGCACTGCTTATGAGAATCTAATGCCTGATGATCTGAAGTGAAACAGTTTCAGCCCAAAACCATCCCTCCACCTTTCGCCTAATCCATCGAAAAATTGTCTTCCACAAAACTGGTCCCTGGTGCCACAAAGCTTGGGGACAGCTGTGCTATTTAATTAATTCTTGTTTGCTAAATTTGGTTCAGTGGTCTGATTTCATGAAGTCTTTTACTTCTATACTAAAAAGAGTTCTGGAAATTCTGACTCAGTCAATGGTATGGTCTGAAAGTTATCTAAGCAATGTCAGTTCAAGAGTTTGCACCCAACAGTCTATTCTTTGAAGTATCACTTGGAGTACAATAGTCCTCCCTTATCCTCAAGGGCCATTCCAAGACATCCAGTTGATGCCTAGAACCGTGAAAAATATCAAACCTTATACACACTATGTTTTTTTTCCTAATTTAGTGGAGAACTGTCACTTTTTCACTGAAAGGAAGCAATTTACTGCTTTCCTTTTGCGTATCCAAATTGCCAGCATCACTACTCTTGCACTTTGGATTCATTACTAAGTAAAATAGGGGTTATTTGAACAGAAGCACTGCTATAGCACAACAGTTAATCTGATAAACAAAGATTGCTACTAAGTGACTAACTGGTTGGTAGTATCTACAGCATAGACACATTGAGCATGAGCAAGTGGGTGATTCATGTCCAGGCCTGGACAGAGGTGGATGGTATGACATTTCATCACATTACTCAGAATGGTACACAATTTAAAACTTACAAATTGTTTACTTCTGAGATTTTCCATTTAATATTTTTGGATTATGACAGACCATAGGTAACCAAAACCATGGAAAGTGAAACTGCAGATGGGGGGCTTACTGTATCTTGTACAGTCCATTCTATGAGGCTCTCAGACTGCCCTGTGTGAAGACAAAAACTTGGGTCTGTAATTTATAGGAGAGCCTTCAGGCACACATTAGAATATATAAAAAATCATCTACAACATGTTATCTGTTATCTGCAGATAATAAACATTTAACGATTGTGGTTCACTCAAGACCCAAGGGCTTTTCAGTCAGCTTGTGATAAATGCTGCGCGACCTGGCTCTCTCCTTTCAGGGCAGTGAGCTCCCCTCTAGCCTCCACCTCTAGGTGGGTCCAGAAAGTGACCATCTAGGAGCCAAGGCATGGAATTGGGAACTCCAGGAGTCTTCTTGGTTCTCTACCTTACTGTGGCCAAGCTCTTACCCAAGCTGCAAGACTAAAGTCTCCTTTCCCTTTCCCTCTCCCATTCACAAGCAGAAGGACTCTTTTTCTGTGGCCACCACAGCTGGGAATGTGCTGGGTCACACCTGAAGCTAGCACAGAACTGGGTCTCACCCAAGGCCCATGGCAGTACTGCCTGGCTATTGCTGATTTTTATTCAAGACTCAGGGTCTCTTTAGTCAACAGGTAATGAATCTTGCCAAAACTGGATCCTTCCCTTCAAGTCAGTGGATTTTCTTCCTGCCAACTGTGTGTCTAGAAATGTTGTTTGGAAGGCTAGGGCCTGGAATGGGGGCATCAGGCTTGGTGCTTTACACCACTGTGGATAGGCTGGTATCCAGATTGCAAGACAAAGTCCTCTTTACTCTTCTCTCTCCTTTCCTCAAGCTAAGTGAGGGAGTCTCTCCCAGATCTGCGAGCTGTATTGCCTGGGGTTAGTGAAGGGGTGATGCAAACACTCATTCGGCCACCACATCTGGTGTTTCACTAGGTCACATGTACCCCAAATCCACTGGCTCTGAGCCCAGCATAGCACCAGGACTTGCCCAGGATTGCAGTTCTTGTGGCTTAGACCGCCTTTCTAGTTGATTTGGAACCCCAGAGCACTTGAGCCCGTGGTGGAAAGGTTTCCTGGAATTCAGGTTCTGACTACTGGGATGGATGATTTCCATCTGGTTAGGGCTGGTCTAAATGCTCCCTCCATGGGTGCCAGCTGAATTCTAACTTGTGTTGCTTTCCACTGTGACAGGCAGCACTGAGTTTCAATTCAAGGTCCACAATCACTGCACTCTCCCTTCCCCAAACACAGATTCTCTCTCTGCACCATGTGGCTGCTGCAGGAAACTGGGGAGGGATGGTGTCGACAATTCAAGACTATTTTTTCCTACCCTCTTCAGTGCCTGCTTCCCTGATATGATGTTAAAACCAGGTATTATGATCATCATCCACCTGATTTTTGGTTCTTATGAAAGTGCTTTCTTGTGTGGATACTTGTTCAATGTGGTGTTCTTTCAGGGGGAGATAATCACTGAAGGGTTCTTGCTCTGCCTCCTTCTAGGCGTTTACTTTTAAATTTAAAAATTTAAACTAGTCTCACTTTCCAAAATGTTTCTGTGCTAGAAATTTCTGTAAGAGAGATTATTTTAAACGTTTAATTCATTTAAAATAGTAGAATTTTCTTTTTTTCTGGGAATTTAAAAAAATATTTATTTATCTAAGTGCTTATTTTTCTCCACAAAGCAATCCAATCAGTGTTCTTTAATGTAAAACATAAAACAATATAGTTTCTTAAAAGCTTTCAGAGGTAGGAACACCACGAGAGTTAAAGCATTGCTTGAGTATAGACAATGATATACAGAGAGACAAACAGATGCAGAGAGAACATATAGCTTCAGTTCTACAATTTCAGTCACAGGCAGGTCAAAGCGAATACAAACATTATAACAGATTTTACAAGCATTAAAAAGTTGTTCTTCCCAATGGCTACAGAATTTCTAAATTAATTTGAGTTCAAAATAAATGATCAAAAAGACTAAAAACTAGATTCTCTCATCTTTCATCTAACAGGAAATAGATGTCTACCATTCAGCAATAATAATCACCAAATGGTTAAGCCAGAGGTTGGCAAACTATGGCTCACTGTCTATTTTTCGATAACACAAGAAGAGATTTTTCCATTTTTAAATGGTTGGAAAAAATAATGATAATAATAATATTTTGGGACATATAAAAAGCTTTATTAAGAAATTAAATTTTTAGTGCCTATACTTAAAGAGCACTTTATTTTTAAATTTTTATTGGACTCAGCCATGTTTATCCTTTACATATTTTCAATGACTGCTTTTGAACTTGCCATAGTCTAAATGTTTGTGCCCCCCTCCAATCAGCATGTTAAAATTCCAAACCCCAAAACGATGGTATTAGGAGATAGGGCCTTTAGAAGGTGATTAGGACATGAGGGTGGAGGCCTTATAGATAAAATTAGTGGCCTTATGAAACAGATCCGAGTGAGACCCTTGTTATTTCCACTTGTAAGAATACAAGGAGAAGGTGTCATCCAGGAACCAGAAAGCAAGCCTTTCCCGTACACCAACCCTACCTTCACCTTGGACTTTCCGGTCTCCAGAATCCAGTTTCTACTATTTTTAATAGTTTATCTTGAGTTCAAATTAATTTACAAATTCTGTAGTCATTGGGAAATTTATTTCTCCAGTGAGAAATAAATTTGTTTGTTTATAATGTACCCAGTTTATGGTATTTTGTTATGATAGACAGCCCAAATGGACTAACACAGCACTGCTACAGCAAAGTTGAGTACAGTCATGCATCACTTAACAATGTTTCAGTCAACAATGAATTGTCTACAACTTGAGTATCCCTTACCTAAAATGTTTGAGACCAGAAGTGTTTCAGATTTTGAATTTTAAAAATACTCATACTTACGTACAATACACGTGTATTAGTGATGATGCATGTGTTTCAATGATCATTTCCCACTCATTACCTCTTATTTTGTATATTTGTGTTTGCTCTCACTCTCTCTCTTTTTTTTTTTTTCAAATTAAGTTAGCTAGTTGTTTACTTTGCTGGATATTTTTATGAGCCATCACTATTTTTATTGTTTTACTAATTCCTACCTGATTAATTTCTGCTTTTATCTGTATAATTTTGCTCTTCGTCCTTTCTTTTGCTTAAAGTTCATTTTCAAACTTTTGTGTTAGAAAATATCATTTTAATAAAAATAATTATGTAAGGCTGTATATTTTCTTTAAATCATTGCTTTAATTATATTATATATTTTGATATATAGTATTTTCATAAAAAGTAATTTCTAAAAATTCTGTAACTTCATGGCTCTTTTCTCTTTTTCTCTAGGTGCTGTTTCACAGAGAGTTTTTAAATTGTAGACTTTTTGGGTGGGGATTTGATTATTTTGTTTTAGTTTCTATTTCCTTGCATTGTGATCAGAGAATATTATTAATCTTGTTTTTATGTTATCAAGACCTGAAATTGTGGAACAGAAGATAAAAGCCATGTTCCCTATGCCACGTTTAAATTACCTTGCCCACAGAATTTGCAAGTATAATAAAATTATTGTTTTACATCAATACGTTTTGGTGTCATTTGTTACTCTTTATTGATAACTGGAACATGGTAAGACATAAGGAAAATTTACTTTATGATTTTGAAGAATAAAATAAACTCAGCATTGGATATCACACTACAGGTCATAAAACCCAATCAGCCTCCTGATGTTTGAATCCCCTCTAAACAAAGTTGCTAGTCATCATCATCCATACCCTATTCATATACTTTCAGTTACTGAGAGTTTACTAATTATACAAGCTTTCATAATCAGGCTAAAATTATTTTTTCTTTCTGGTATTAGGTCATAGGACATGATAAAAAAGAAAAAAAGAAAAAAGGTGGGAAGACTGAGAACTCACCTATTGATACAGACCAAAACCCAATCCAGCTTTTCCAGAAGAGATAGTGTATATAATTGTTTCTCTTGTTCAGTTTTTCCAACATATAATAGAGCTTTTTATAATTTTGTCTTTTAGCTTATGTTCTGTATAAAATAAATTTAAAAATGGTACTTTGTTTAGTATTCAATTTATCAGATATCTGGCAGTCAAAAATGGCTGATCAGAACTTTTTTGTTGTTTTGTTCTTTACTAATATGAAAGCATTTCTTTAACTAATGAAAAAATATGTGACAACTGTCCTTTTTCCTTTAATGTTGTGCAAAAGTGTCATCTGTCTCTATAATATGTGCCCGTTGCTGGCTATTTACCTCAACGTTCAGAATCACTAATTTGTGAGTCATAGTTGTGCTTCTTCAGTTTATAATTTTTTTACAATTTTTTTTTTTTTTTTTTGAGATGGAGTCTTGCTCTGTTGCCCAGGCTGGAGCACGGTAGCACAATCTTGGCTCACTGCGACCTCCGCCTCCTGGGTTAAAGTGATCCTCCTGTCTCAGCCTCCCGAGTAAGCTGGGACTACAGGGGTGTGCCACCACGCCTAGCTAATTTTTTAATTTTTAGTAGAGATGGGGTTTCAACATGTTGGCCAGGCTGATCTTGAACTCCTGACCTCAAGTGAGGCCTCCCAAAGTGCCGGGATTACAGGAGTGAGCCACCACGCCCAGCCCGTAATTATTTTTCTCTTTGCCATCTGACCTCAGGATAAGAAACTGTTTTCAAATGTCCATCATTTACAAATCTTGGAGTTGTGTTGTGGGTTTTGATAGTTTTCAATATCCTGAAAGGCTTTGAGCTCAGTCTCTGAATTCATCTCAGCTCTCCATCTTTACATCAGTAATAGCAATCATTAGATTAAACCCCCCAAAACTTTCTGAACCTAAAGCCTTTGGGATCAATCTCCAGTTCTCCTAGAATTGACCCGAATATTGTGACTGAATGAAATCTGATCCTATGAACAAAGATGACCCACTCTTATGCCACAATTCTTGGTGCTATTTTGCACCAGAGACTTCTGTGAATCTGTATCTTCTGAGGACTGAACAAAACTGAAATGACATCCTGGATTTGGAAGCACTCATATTATCTGATATTGATTTTTTAAATTTTGGAGAACATATTTTTTTAAAATACAATTGTCAAGATCATTATTATTTAATGATGTGGTGAAAATGTTGCCAGCATAAAAAGACAAGAAGTAGAAGTAAGAGATACCATTGGAAAAATGGAAAAAAAATACAAACTATACATAGAAAATCCGAGAGAAACAATTAAAACCTTCTAAAATAAATGACTTGAAATTTAAAAAGTATTTTTAAATCTATTCTATTCATAACCCAGGAGTAGACACAGTGGGAAAATAAGTTTTCATTTACAATATACGTTTTAAATATTCAGAAAAAGACTTTGGATTTAACCTGTTTGTGCAGGACTTATGTATCCACAATTAAAATTTTATTGTCAGAGAAATATTGGAGAAATTTAAATAATATAGGAAAATGAACACTATATAATTTTGACTGAGAAACTGGTAAATACAATGTGATCTGAACTATGTTTCCATTATGTCTATGAATAGAAACAGGACCAAAGGGAAGCATAGAAAAATTTAATGTTGGTTTCCTCTATGTTTTAAGTTATTGCTATTTTTCCCTAAAAGGGTACTCTATTGTCAAAAATATTTATCATGGGCATATATTTTATAACTTGAATAAAATTTTACATATATTTCTATATACATATATATATATATATATATATATATATATATATATATGTCCATTTGGTAAAAGTGATTAAAAGTGAACAAAGTTGTGACAATCTTCCAAATATGAATTTTAAAAATTAGAAATGCCTAATCCCATTCCTCAAGCCCTGTGTTATTTTGAAACAAATTCCAGACATCATATTATTTCAACCTCAATTATTTCAGAATATGTTTCCAAAGTAAAATAAATCTTTTTCTTAAAAAAAAATCTCAATAACATTATCATAGGAAAAAATTTAACAATATTTCTTAATATTATCAAATATTCACTAGATATTCAAATTCTCTAGTTGTCTCATAATTTTTCCTTGCAATGTTTAAATCATAATTCAGGTAAAATATATGCATTGTAATGGTTGACATGTATCTTCAGTCTGCTTTAATCTTTAAAAGATTGAGGCTTTTCCTGAATCTTTTTCGACTTGAATTTTATTTGTTGGATAAACTTGGTCTTTGAACTTTTAGATTTTCCCAACACCTGGATCAATTGGATTTTGCTCATTAACCCCTGTGCATTATTTAGTATATTCTCTGTATTCTCTATACATTCCTGGTTAGAACTAGAGGTTTTATCAGATTCATATGTATTTTCTTCATTTTTTGATGTCATTGGCCATTTGCAGGTATTTTAAAACATGTTCAACCTTTTTTGACACTCCACCACTATGAGATTCTCCTCAAATCTCAATTTACTCTAGTAATTTTCTTGTAACCAGTAGAAAACAGTGGAAATAATGCTGTGAGACTTTTGAAGCTAGATCAGAGAAAAATTATGCAGGTCCCCTGGCTCTTTTTGGATGCTCACTAGGGCAATCATTTCCTTTCTGGGGAGATTTAATCCTCCCTCCCATTTCGGGGACATTTAGTCAAGTCTGGACACAATGGGAAGGGTGGTGCTACTGCCATCTAGTGGGTAGAGGCAGGGATACTGTTAAACATCCTGCAAGGCACAGGACAGACTACCTACAACAAGATGTCAATAGTTCCAAGGTTGAGAACCCTGCTCTAAGGGAAGGCAACTGCGATATGACAAGTCTAATTACTCTGAGACTGCTATGCTGGATAATCCACTTGTAGATATTCCAGTCAATCCCATTAGAGCTCTCAGTTGAGAGCCAGCGTCAACTTTCAGCCATGAGAACCAACCATCCTGGATATTCAGTCCAGTTAAGTCTTCAGATCACTGTAGCCTTGGCTGACCTTTACTTACAACTGCCTGAGCGACCCCAAGAGAGAAATGCCCAGTCAAGTTCTTCCTGAATTTCCAACACAAAATTGTGAGCAAAATAAAAGTTTGTTTAAATCTACCAAGGACTGGGATCAACTGTTAAATAACAATATTAACAGGAACTAGTCAGTGTTTCAATCTATTCACAGATTAGAAGTTACAAAATGGATATAATATAATTCTATTATTATTTCCTATATATCAATTGGAATCTTTTTATAAGGAGACACTTTTCCTATTGACTATTTGATTACTGTAAAGTACAGTTTAAATAAGAAAATCAGTATGAATGCTTGACTTTACAATTTAGTGAAACTGCAAAATCTCTTAAAAAATGGAATAAAAAAGGTGAGAAAAATCTTAAGAAAACATCGTGAAAGCAAGAACTGTGATTTATAGATTACTTTGAATTGTTACATTGACAGCTGACTGCTCAATGTTCACAATGGAAGGCACGTATCAGCAGATTATGGTTTTAATTTGCAGAAAGGAAAGAACTGCCATTCTAGAATTTTATACACAGTGAAAATATTCATCAGGATTGTGAAATAATAACATTCAAAGACATGATTACGATAAAAATGAGTGTTTGTACCAGCTACAAGTCTGACTGAAAGTAAATAGAACTAAGTTTTTGAAATAATCATATTGTTGAAGAAATTATAAGCCTCTACTCAAATTATTTTAACTTTTTGGGACTTACAACTATATTTGCCACTCTTGCATTATCATAAAATGGACTGTAAATAAGATATATTTTCCAACATCCATTACGAATACATCCAACGAAGATAACAGAAAATGGAGACTATCACAGGAGGCCATACAAGGGCCATCATGGATATTGGTCAAGGACCCCGAGAGCAGACTCAGATCTAATCTTGTAAATTCTCATCCCTAAGATAGTGAATCTTTACCATGTCTGGTCCTGGAGAATTTCTACATTGCCACGTACCACTTACTGCTCTGTTTCTTCCATTGTTTCTTTTTCTAAATGATAATCCTCATTGCAATGATCTTATCCCCATTATAGCATAGTATATTCAGTATACGAAAAGAGCAGAAGATAACTATTCTTTCAGACCATAGGTTTAAGAAACAAGAAAATCTTCATCAGAGCCTTATAGAAAAAGCTGTGAATTATCCATACCAGAAAAACTTTCATCATCAATGTCCACCTTGGGTGTGGGATTAAAGAGTGGCACTCTCTGCGCAGTCCTCGGCTAGACATATTTCCTCATTTTACAGATGAGGACATTGATTTAATAAGTAACTTATTGATTTTTAAAAATACCTCTTTTATCACACATAGAGTATTTTAGTTGAATAATGGAAAAATTTGAGGATACATATGTGGATGCTGTTTGATATAAATATAAATTAAATGAGTTAGCATAAAAAGAAATTAGAATAAATTGAGTTTAATTATCACTAAGAAAGTGGAAGTTTTTCTGTTTCCACTTTTCAGCCTTTTGTGCTATCACTAGACTATTGTCAATGAGTCATTATAAGCAAAGGGAAGTAGGCTGCAGGTGTTGCTAATGATCACTTATATATTTTCACAGTGTTCCAAAGCTGTACTTTATTACTTATTCCAGATTGAACTATTTTTATTTTAATTGGTACTTTTAGAGATTTGGTTCCCAACCAGCTGGCATGGTCCAGTGGGTGAAGCAGAGAAATAGCACTTTTGTTACGGTAAAAGTGAAAGCAAATTGACTAATATCTACCAATCATAATTTGAAATAGGACACTGCTCCTATGTTGACTCATATTTTCATAGGATAATGACTGAGTGTGTTGTCCTCTGAGAGGACTTGTATTCTCACCACATGAAGATATATTGAACACCCACAAAATAGCATTAGAAGCAAATAAGAAACCCTAGCATAGTTTGGTACTTCTTGATTTTGATGTTTTATACATCACTAGTGAAACTAAGTTATTGTTCACACCAATAAAGCAATATTTGAGACACACATGAAAACATAGAAATAATGTACAAATTTGCTGATCACCGAAGTAATGTGCACATATTACTTTATATCTCCCCCTTTCTACATATACAAGTTCTTAACGCAGGTTATATACTT